CTGGACTGGATGGCCGGCCAGATGAACTCCTCCACAAACTCCCTGCTGACATCCTCAATGAACACCTTTTTGGCCCCAAGCTTCAGTGCCTTCTTCCTGGCTTCCTCCAAGTCTCCCTTCTGGCCAGTGTTGGCCAGATAGGCAATGACGTCGTAGCCTTGTTCCTTCAGCCACACGAGGATGCACGAGGTGTCCAGGCCGCCACTGTAGGCCAGAACCACGGAGCCTTTGCTGGACATAGTGTCTGGGATTGGAGGCGTGAGTTCCTGGCGTCTGGAATCTGTCTTCACGGTGCAGTGAACCACTCGGGCTCGGGCAGCGGTGGTAGGCAGCAGAGCAGGGCCTAATCACATATTTTTAGTGCCTCTTTTGCATTTATCTTCTTAGGCAATCTCCTGAATGGATTTTTCACTCCATGATTACCTCTAAGGTTTAGTGATTCCCAGGAGTTTGTCCAGCAGCATCTTGCATGTTGCCAATACATCAGAACACCTTGCCTGAATTTCATCTTTCATCATTTTTTAGATGCTATCTTCATGTAACTTCATCTTGTCTCTCTGGATCTTTTGCAGTTCAATCTCCTAATTCGCCCTGCTTACCATATTCCCCTTTGGAATCTCATTATCAGCTGTTGCCAACCTCAGCAAAGGCAGAGTTTCTTGATGTCTCTTCATCTGTTTCAATGTTTGTATTATTCTTTGATGATACAAGTAAAATAGATAAGGAATAATTGTTGATGTTACAGAGAAATGGCAATTTTCTTTTTGAAAGGTGAGATTATTCTTACATACAGAAAAGCTTACCATTTTTCATGAAGTTACTGGAGAAAATGATAAAAGGGGAAATTTAATGGGAATTGTTCAAATATTTGAGAAATTAGCTTTCACCTGGTAGATGAAAGAATTTCATCTCTCATCATTTTTTAGATGCTATCTTCATGTAACTTCATCTTGTCTCTCTGGATCTTTTGCAGTTCAATCTCCTAATTCGCCCTGCTTACCATATTCCCCTTTGGAATCTCATTATCAGCTGTTGCCAACCTCAGCAAAGGCAAAATTTCTTGATGTCTCTTCATCATCCTAAAAATAATTCATCATCCTAAAAATAATTTTAGGTTTATGTTTTAGATTCATGTACCTCCCCTTAACTAGAATGTAAAAATAATTTTAGGTTTGGTTAAACCAAGTAGTTGGGATTACAGGCATGTGCCATGACGCCTGGCTAATTTTTGTATTTTCAGTAGAGATGGAGTTTCCCCATGTTGGCCAGGCTGGTCTCAAGTGATCCATCTGCCTTGGCCTCCCAAGGTGCAGGAATTACAATTAATAGGAATTGTTCAAATATTTGAGAAATTAACTTTAACCTGGTATATGCTCTCTACATAAACCTAAAAATAATTTTAGGTTTGGTTAAACCTAAAATAATTTTAGGTTTATGTAGAGAGCATATACCAGGTGAAAGTCACTATTTTAGGGACATTACTTGCATTTCTTATCTAATTTAATCTTCATCACCATTCCATTAGTTAACTATTATTTTCTTTCTTCTACACATGTTGAATCAGGTTAACTTGTCCAAGATCACAGCAGGTAAAACGGAAGAGCCATACTGGAATAAAAATGCATTTAAATCCAAGCTGAGCATGGTGTAATTCCTGCACTTTGGGAGGCCAAGGCAAATGGATCACCTGAGACCAGCCTGGTCAACATGGGGAAACCCCACCTCTACTAAAAATACAAAAATTAGCCAGGTGTCACGGCGCATGCCTGTAATCCCAGCTACTTGGGAAGCTGAGGCAGGAGAATCGCTTGAACCCAGGAGAGGGAGGCTGCAGTGAGCCGAGATTGTGCCACTGCACTCCAGCCTAAGGGACAGGGTGAGACGCCATCAAAAAAAAAAAAAAAAAAAAATCCAAAGCCTGGGCTTTTTCCATGAGATATTCTTCCGTGGCACTTCATTTTATAGAGTTTGGGTGAATCTCCAACCACGTGAAGATAAAGTTCTAAGCCTTGTTAGTTGAATATTGATTTGTTAGCCACATAGCTTGTGTTCAGGATTCATGTACCTCCCCTTAACTAGAATGTAAATTAGGGAGAAAGAGGGGTTGAACACATGGCTCAGGCCTGTAAGCCCAGTGCTTTGGGTTGAGGTAGGAGGATTGCTTGAGTTTAGGAGTTCGAGATCAGCCTGGGCGACATAGATAGACTCTGTCTCTACAAAACAAACAAACAAACAAACAAAAACAGCCAGATGTGGTGGTGCACACCTGTGATCTCAGCTACCTGAGCCCAGGAGGTCAAGGCTATGGTGAACCATGATAGTGCCACTGCACTTCAACCTGGGCAACAGAGCAAGACCCTGTCTCTAGTGAATAAATAAAAATAAAATAATTAGGAAGAAAGGAATGAAGGAGGAAATGACGGAAGGAGCAAAGGAAGGAAAATGGTCACTTTTCTGTTTCCATTGAGGATTGTTGGAGAATAATAATACCAGTCTTACATTGCTTCAGTAAGAAGCTCCATTGCTTTTTAGGAAGGTATCCCAGAAAATGGGTTACTCAATATAGGGATGGACCACCAAGGAATTAATAGAATTAATCTTAATGAAAATTATGAAGTTAATAGTCTACCGAAGACAAATAATTGCCACCTTTTAGGACAATAGGAATCTGGACTCAAAAATCTTTTGGGAAACTATAATTTTATAATATAATTACTTATTTTAATGTTAATTTAAATGTAGGCAAGTTGGAAACTATGAGAAAGCCATCTAAGTATGTCCTCACAGGAACACATCTGTTTTATAAGTCTGCAAACTCAAAGGACTAAAATGGCACAGTCATCAGCATGTTAACATGACTAAAATTATTGACATGTTGAGAGACATACAGGTGCTGTGTTAAATTAGCATATTGCTAGAAAAATATATGATTAAAAGTGGATATCAGAACTTTCCATCTTTATTCCTTTGGGAAAGCAGACATTGTTATTCACTCTCAAGTCAAAGATGACCCTGATCCTAGACTCAGAGGCACCGCGGGAGTTTGCTGGATCAGGCAGTGACTCATATTTACCGTCCAAACTCTTCCCTGGTCTGAGCAACTCCCTGCATCAGCTTTCATGACCCTGCTGTTGAATCATGGCAGCCAACAAGCAACCACCACATTTCTGGGACCTTTTTTTAGCCCCTCTCACCTGTGGCTCCCCAGATCCATCACCTACGATTTACAAAATAGAACACACAAAGATCAAAGGTCAGCTTTGAAATATGAAAGCATTGTGTCCAAATGTTAAAAATAAAGTCAGCCACAAATCATGTTGGAAAGAAGTAGAATGTCATAAACACAAGAGATTACAAATCATAGTTCACAGCCTGGAGCTCCACAACCCTAGTAGAATTAACTTAAAAACAGCAACAACAACAAAGGTGATGACCACAAACAACACAGGTCAGAGATCTGAGGTTTGGCAGAAAAAAGCCAGATGTGTTCAGAGTTCAGTGGAAAAGGTCACAAGCCTAGACAGACTAGGTATCATAAGAATGTTTTTTTTTTTTTATATATTGGTAAACACTATATTTGTAACTGTTAGACTTTTTGCTTGTTTGGTTATTGAAGGTCATGCTAGGACGTGAGAGAATGAGCTATTTGGAGGACCCTAAAAATAAAATTCTACATGCTTAATTCAAGACATTCCTACCATGTTAGAGATAAAATACTGGAAATCTTAAAGAAGACGAGAATAAACTTGCATCAGGTTCTTCTGCTATCACTTTGCAAAGCTGAAATATCATTCAGAATTCTTTCAGTATATGATAGCACATCACTGGCACCAAAAAGAAGACCGATTTAAGTTAGATTTAAGTTATAACCACCAATCTAAATGCCAGCTTTCTTGGTCAACTCCAAAGCTAATAATGATTTAAAATATACTAATAACTATGTATCTTATTTTCTTGCAATAAAACATAATTACAAAAAGTTAATGTTTATGAATCACACTGAGGTTCTCAGATGAGGTGATAAGCAAGTAAATAAATATTACATAAACAAATAATTACCTGAGCAATTAATGCCCCTCAAATTGTGGATTGTAAATTTGAGAATACTAATTGCTTTATGAAATGTTGGCTCACAGATAACATGGGAAGTAGTGCTGTGTAAAATGAAATCAACTCACCTCTAACTTGACTTTGAAACCAAGTGAAAGAGAAAGAAGAAAATTAGGTTAATGTCTACCTATTTTTTTTTTTTTCACATATGATTGGGGACATTCTGAACACACAATGCCAATTCAATATGGTTGATTTAAGAACATGGAAAATTAAATGGTATGATCTTTTTCCTTTACATGTTCATATGCAGCCAATACATGAAAATAACTTTTAAATAGATTTAAAGTGTCTGATAGCCATTATAGGAAGAAAGAAATATATGTGGAAGTAATTTGTTCTTTGAATCATATTCAGATAAGATACAAATATTAAATACTACAAATATCCAAAAATGATATAGATATAAGCTGATTTTTGCAATTTTCTTTTTTTAGGTATAACATTTTAATCCTTTATAAATAGGAAGAAATACGGGAAAACAATGAAGAGCAGAAAATCACATTTCTAGTTGTCTTTTTAAACCATAGCTTTGAAAGCTCAAGATTCCAGATCATTTTGAAAGCTCAGAGAAGGCAAGAATCCAGTTTGCTATAGAATAGAAAGCACTGAAGAATGTCATAGGCTTACTTTTTCTCCATTCAACATTTCTCTAGATACTCACCCATAACAATTAGGAGCAGATAAAAAAATTCTTTTCTAACTTGACTTCTTTAAAATATCTTTTTTTTTTTTTTTAGATGGAGTTTCTTTCTTGTTGCCCAGGCTGGAGTGCAGTGGCGCCATCTCGGCTCACTGCAACCTCCGCCTCCCAGGTTCAAGTGATTTTCCTGTCTCAGCCTCCTGAGTAGCTGGGATTACAGGCATGCACCGCCACACCCAGCTAATTTTGTATTTTTAGTAGAAATGGGGTTTCCCCATGTTGGTTAGGCTGGTCTCGAACTCCTGACCTCAAGTGATCTGCCTGCCTTGGCCTCCCAAAGTGCTGGGACTACATGGCCTCCCAAAGTGCTGGGACTACAGGCGTAGGCCCCCGTGCCCCACTGGTAAAATATCTTAAATTACACTAGAATCAAAAGGTTATCCTTGTAGTCCATCACAAAAACAACTCTGAATTTTATTAAGAGCCAAATGAGCTATGAATCTGAGTCCAGACCAAACACTAAGAAATTTGGTTCATTTGAGTGGCTTCTTTATACAACCTGCATTTTCTA